AGAGCAGTTTGGCAGATTTAATTAAGGGTTTTAATGGATCACATGCTAAGGAAAGAATTGAGGTTAAGGGAGGTTAAATTCCTGATGCTCTGCACTGGTAGCCAGATAATAAATGAGGGAGGAAATTGAGAAACTACGTATGTTCAGAAGAGGTGAAAAAGAGCTACAAGAACCCGGAAAACGAGCTTGAAAGTGTGTGGAAATGATATCTGGAGTACAATCTGTCGAAGCAGGAGTTAGAAGACTGTAAGACAAGGGGAATTCCACTACTTAAATACCCTGTGTTACAAAAAAAGACAGTGGGTTACACCTAAATGTCAGATGTGCTAAAACATAGGACGTAGATATGTAGGAATCTTGGTAAAAGGAAGAGGGGACTGTTCTGTGCTAAGTAGGGCAAGGAAGGGTTATTGGAATGGAGTGTGGATCACGTCTGTGCCAGGGACCAGGCCCTATCCTGCACTTGCACAACTTTAGGGTGAGTATCTCAAATTTTGCACTCTCATGCTTCCTTGCTTCATTCTAGTCCTGGCCCTGTGGGACTCAGAGGGCTCTTCCTTGACCATCAGCCTCCTTATCCCTTCCCACTGCCTCTACTTTTATGTAAAAATCTATTTCCTTGCTTCTCCTTCCAATTGGCAAATAATATAATAGGGAAAATACTGTACCTGCTTATGATACTTAGGTTCATTTTTCCAGCAGTTCATCTTCAGACACATTATCTTTCAACTCTGGAAGGTGGTGGAAATTAACCTGAGATGTGTAGGCAACAGGTTCAAGGATAGTTTGTTTTCGGCCTGTTGCACAAACCAGGGATCACAACCAGTTGATAAGGTATAGAAAGAAGTGCCTCAAAGCCAGAAGAGAAACACAAGATCAGAGTTGAGGATTCCAGGTAAGGATAGAGGCTAGCAGGTGAGGCACAGCCCCCAGGAGCCCTCACCCAATGGCATGGCCCACGCAGAGGTGGGGTGGTCTGAGTTCCTTGTTAAATCATGAACCAGTCCTGAGGGGGACTCATGCAAAAGCTGTGGCAGGCAGGTAGCATTACCCCACAGTGCCCCTTGAGGTGTGCAGAGCCCAGGACAGAGACTCCTTGTAGTGGCTTGTGAAGGATTGTCAGGCAGTACTGTTTTATCAGCATGGCAGTGCTGAGGAGGGACATATTGACAGGGACCCATGTCCAGGAAAAGCTAACTATCAAGACCTCCAGGTCTGGTGAACAACTCTCCTTACTCCCCCACAACATAGCTAAATGAGTCTTCTTCCCTCTCCCATTTCCTCTTTCCTTTCCCTTTTCCTCCTCAGTATTCCCATCAACTTGTCTATCCTTGGGCCCTGTTCATGCCATTCTCCCAATTGGGATGCCGAACTGTGAATGCATGTCTCCTACCCAAATATAAATGGGTACATCCTTGGGGCTCCATATTGAGGTCTGTCCTCTAAAGCCTTTGCCTAATCCCTTGGATCACTCACTCCTATGTGCCCGTCAGACACATTGTGAGCCCTCCTTTGGTGCTAATTGGGAGGCAGTAAAGTGAGTGTAAAGAACTTGGAGTTGGAATTCCAGACCTCGGTTGGAATTCCTGTCTCCATCCTTGACTAGCTCTGTAATATCCAGTAAATCAATTTCTCTAAGCCCTGTGTCCTCATCTGAAAAGTTGGAAAGCAAATCTTACCTTGCATGTCTGTTGTATAATATATGAAAATGTACCTAATTATGGAAAACCTTTAGGACAATTCCTGGTACTTGAGTAGATACCCAGTACATACTGGCTTTTTTAACATGGAAACTGGGGGCAAAAATGCATTTAGGAGAAAGGAATCAGGAAGCCAGAACTGGGAGGACAAAAGTAAAATTAGCGACAGATGTTGAGGCCAGCATGTGTGAAGGACAAACTGGGTTGCGTCCACACTCAAAGGCCACCAGGGGAGCAGTGAGAGACTATACAAAAAGCTGATGACCAGATGTCAGGGCATAGATGTGGCCACTGACTCGCAGTGCAAGAATCAAGGAGAGCATGCACCAAGTCTTCTTGACCATGTGTAATAAAGAGAGATACAGCTAACATTTACTGTGCACTTTGCCAGATTCAGTTCTAAGTACCATCTCATTTAGTCCTCACAACAGCCCTGTGAATTAAGTACTGTTATATAACTGTCTCTGACTTATAGATGAGTTCACTAAAACATTGTTTAAATGACTTGCCTAAAAAGACACAATTAGGAAGTGGCGCAGCCTGGATGCCAAGCCAGACAGTGGCCCCAGAGCCCATGCTTGTAACTACTACCCTCCAGTGGGTATCACCAACTGGAAGTCTTTCACCAACTGGAAGTCTTTCTTTGCTGATCCAGGAGCCAAACCAAAAGATGGGCAGCCCACAAAGGGCCAGCCAGCCAAAGCAAATTATTCCTAACATAGTTATTGTTTATATTATTAGCATAAACGGTTAATACAGCATTTGTGAAGACCTGTGTATTCCTGGCACTGTGCTAATGTGCTTTGTGTTCATTAATTCCCATAACTATTATGCAAGACATCATATCTACTTTATAAATGAAAAAATGAGGCTCTGGGTGTTGCAAACATGCACTACTTTTCCCACCCACTCTTCCTACAACCATCTAGCTTGTGATTTAAGTTCTCCTCTGAAACTCCTCTTACTGAGATTACAAATGATCTTCCAGGTGCTAAATCATTTTTCAATGATTAACTCAATGACTTACTCTTCTGCACTCCTGCTTAATGACCACGCCATCTTGCATCATTTCCAGGACCATAGTTTGTTCCAGAAGCACCTCTCTGACCTATTTCCCCCCTCTGTATCTCCCTATTTATTTTTTCTTGTGCTGGTCCTTAGATGTGGGTCTTCTTGAGGAGCATATCCCCATGCCTCCTTAATCTCTCTTTGAATGTTCTCACCCACTTCCTGGTCTCAGCTACCACAGCAATGCTAAAGGGAGGGAAGACGGTACCATAAGCTTGAGACAAAGATCCTTTATATACTGGAGACCCCCTGCCTCTACAAGCATCCCGAATTCAAGTGTATCAAACTGAACACATGCAACCTCTTTCTGTACCACTCCCAACCCTGCCTGTCTTGACCCCACCTCCTCCTTTTCATTATTTCAGCCGAGGTGCTGCCATCCACCCAATTACTCAAACCTAGAACCTGAAAGTCATGTTTAACTCCTCTTCCTCCACCCTCCCAGTCTACTCAGTATCTAGGAGCTGTCAATTCTACATCCATCTTTTGGATTTTGTCATTTCTCTCTACAGACATGGGAAAAACTAGTGGAAGCCAACATCTCTCACTAGCTGACTCCCTCTGGGCCCCCCTTCCTCCAGTCTGGCCCCTTCTGTTTTCTGCATCCTAGTCAAATTTTTTAAAGCTCAAATGAAGGGAAAGGCATGATCAGATTTGAGCTTTTAACCCCTCCTTGGACCTTCATTCATCTCAGGATAAACTCTAAGCTCTTCAACAGATCATTCAGAGTTCTCTGGAATTCTGTTTCTATCTCCCTTTGGACCCCATTTCTTGCCATCCCAACCTTGCTCTCCAGTTGCATAAAACTTCTTGTGGTTTCCTAAACATGCCATACCTGGCTAATTTTTTGTAGCATTTAATACTCAGCCCAGAAGTCACCTCCTCCAGGAAGCCTTCTCTGATCCCCCAGGCTGGGATGGTGTTTTTCCTTAATGCTTCCTTACTCCCTTGTGAATATTTCTGTCACTTTTTTTCAGTATTGATTTATGATCATTCCTACATTCATCTCCTCCACTAGTTGGGAAGTTCTTCATTGAGGGTAGGGACTATTGAATTCCCAGGCTCTAACACAAGGTAGGACCTTAGTGAATGTTTGTTGAATGAATAAATAAATGAATAACTTTCTCAAGGTTACATTGTAAATAAATTCTTAACTGGAACCAAAATCTGTCATACTCTAAAACCCATGTTCTTTCCACTAATGCATTTGCACATGTAGAGTGTTCAGACTCTGTAAAAAGCTGGCATTTTAAAGGACCAAATCTTATCATAAGGTTTTCCTTCCATTTTTAAAAATTGTTTTTAATTTTTCAATGATACATTCACATGATTTGGTAATCAAATAGTATAAAAAGATATACAGCACCCAAAAGAATTGAAAGCAGTGTCTCGAAGAGATATTTGTACATCCATGTTCATAGCAGCATTATTTACAATAGCTAAAATGTGGAAGCAACTCAAGTGTCCATTGATGGATGAATGGATGAGCAAAATGCGGTATATACATCGATGGAATATTATTTAGCCTTAAAAAGAAGGGAAATTCTGCAACGTGCGACAACATGCTTAAACCTTGAGGACATTATGAAATGAGCCAGTCACAGAAAGACAAATACTGTATAATTCCACTTAAATGAGGTACTTAGAGTAGTCAAGTTTGTAGAAACAGAAGATATAATGGTGGTTGCCAGGGGCAGGGGGGAGGGGAGAATGGGAAGTTATTGTTTAATGGGCATTGAGTTTCAGTTTTACAAAATGAAGGAAGTTATGAGGATAGATGGTGGTGATGGTTGCACAACAATGTGAATGTATTTAATATCACTGAACTGTATGCTTAAAAATGGTTAATTTTGATGGTATATTTGTGTTATGTGTATTTTACCACAATAAAAAAATTTTTTTTAACCCCAAAACAAACAAAAAAGGAACCGCAGAGTCTCATTCCCATTTTTCTCCCATGTTCCCTGTTCCTACTCCCTCTGCCCCAAGGTAACCAAACTTATTAGTTTCTGATCTCCTTCCAGGTTTTCTGTTTGCAAATGCAAGCAAATATGAAGTTACATATTCTTCTTCACCTGCTGACTTTTTAAAAGGTATTAAAACGTTTTTTTAACTTCTCTACTTTTTTCTGAGGTGGATATGTGTTAGCAAAAAGAGCTAATCAGTACCCAGTTTGAATGAACTCACAAGGTGGAGACGTGGAAGGGGACAGCTGTTTGATGAGAGGGTGAGATAATCCTGCCTACTCACTGCCAGTGCAGTGTCTAGGGACATACAGGGTCCCCCAGGCCAGACCCTATGGTCCAGGTATCTACCCCAGGCTGGTTCTCAAGCTTCCAGAGTTAACCTTTCCTCTGGAACCTGCCTAGGCCACGCCCCCTGATGCAATATCTGGGTTTGGGCAGAAGGGAGGGTGCTGCACAGCCCGCCCTCTCTGAGCTGTCTGGGCCAGCTCCTCTTTCAGGAACAATTCAGGCTTCACAACGACTCAGACTCCTGCATTCGGAAGAAAGGTCGGCCGAGATGGACAGAATGTTTCATTGTGGGGGGAAACAAGGTTCCAGGTCAAGCTGAGTCTGCCAAACACAGACCCTCAGGATGGTTCTAGAAGAAATCTCAACAAGGCTTATCATGTGGCTTTTCTACATCTTGATTCCATGTTTGCTCACAGGTGAGTATGAATTAGAATACAGCCAATAATCTGGGACTTGAATATAGGTTAAGAAGGTGAAAAATACTTTCCCAGGGTTTGGGGTTGCAATATAAGCATAGAACATCTTATGTCTGTTTTTAAAAATGTTTCCTCACCTCCTAAACCTCCATCCTCACATCCTGAAGAAGAGAAAAGCCTGCATTCTGTTTGGAGATATCTTTCCTAATGTCCACAGAACAATCTAGAAAGATAAAGCATCAAACCAAATAGTCTAAAGGTTAGCAGAACTCTATGCATTTTGCTATTTATCTCGTTTTCTGGTGTTAAAAGGTGCAACATAGTTATTTCAGTCTTTCTATGTGTGCCTTGGAGATGTTAATTATAAGGACAAGAAATAAAAAAGAGTCTAACAAAATACACATGAATAAAAAGACAATTTTTAACTTTAATATTGGGTACAAGGCTTATTAATATTGGATTTTTCCCCTGGTCACTGCAGAAAAGATAGCAGCCAGACACTCTATAGCATTTAAAACAATATTTGGTTTGGGACATTTTCCCTGCCAGTAAGATTACATAATTTTCTCTGCTCCACTCCTGGATGCTTGTACTTACATGCTTTACTGTTCCAAAATCGTAGCTCTGTAGTCTTTGATGTTTTCTCATGTCAAATCACATTTAAGAGAAATTTCTAATTTTAATACTCCAAGGTGCTGGGCACTTTGTAGTGTCAGTGGGAGCCTTGAGTGCTTTCTGTCTTTTTTATTTTTATTTTTTGTTGGCCGATTGGTTAGTTAGTAGACCGATTAGTTGGTGAGGCAAACAAGATGCCAGGGAAACCTTCCTCCACTGAGTCAAAGGGAGAAGATGAGGAGGCAAAATTAGAGGGCCAAGGCCAGAATTTTTTAATTTGTCATTTTCCTCAATGAGGAAGTCCAGTTTTTTAAGCCTTTTCCTGAAAACTTCTGTTTCAAATAGACCTGGAGGTGAGTGTGTTCTTCTGACACCTATAAACTTACACAGAACAAAAAAACCAATGATGGAGACCATAAGGATGTCAGAGACAGAAAGACCTGTGTGCATGTTTTGACTCTATCACTTGCTAGCTCTATAGCATATACCTTCAGTTTCTATATCTGTGAATGGTAAAAATAGCCACCTTGGGATTGGGAGGGGTTCAATGATGTAATGCAAACAAAAGCACTTTGAAAGTGTCAATGTACCCTCCCCACGTTAGTTATTATTATTGGTTATGTAAACAGACAGTGGTGTCAGCCAATAATTGCTTTAGCTGAGGTTGCCTTTACGCAGTTCTGACCATTGCTTCTGGATTGTGTAGATGAATTCTCCAAATTCTAAATGAACTTCTATTAGTCATTCTAGATCCATGGACAGATGAGTAGAGTTCTCTTTTATAGAATTCAATTGCCTTGCTCTGTCCCTTTCAAATGATAGTGTGTGATTCAGAAAACTGATCCCCACTACCAATAATAATAATAATAATAACAACAACAACAACGATGATGATCACAACGCCATTTCTGAGCACACATTGTGCTCATAGTTTAGCAAAAATATTCTCTTGATTTCTCACATCAAGGTAGACGATATTATCCCCATTTTACATACTATGAAACAGAGACTCAGGTTCAGTTATTTGCCCAAGTATATATATCTAGTAAGTGGGAGAACTGGGATCCGACTCAGGTTTGGCTGGCTCCAGAGCCTGTTCCCTTTGTACTTCCCTGCAGAAGAAGCTGAGACATTGAAGTAAGCCAGAAAAGGAAATAAGGATGGTGCTGCTACCTTTTCTGATGCATCTGCCATAAGGGCTGTTGGAAGTAAAGGTGGCAGAAGAGGACCAAATGAGGGCCGTTGACAGCAGAACCAGAGAGGGGAAGCCAGCATGGCCTGTCATTCCATAGAGGAGATTTCTGCCTGGAGAGTTTGCCCAAGGACTTTGTGGTGGGCAGCCTTTATGCTGCTTTTTTATCACTGACTCAAGATTTTAGGAAATCTCGAGGTGTTCAGCATAAATGTCAGTGCAGCAAAAATATAGTCTAATTTAAGATGGATACGGACTAGAAAAAAAAGTCAGGCTGAGGCTAATTTCACTAAGAGAGCAAAAACTTAGTTTACTTGTTTAGTTTTCATCTATTTTGCATTTCTGAGCACCTCCTATATGCTGGGTTCTGGGCTAGGTGCTGGTTAGAAATGAACAAAACAGAGTCCTATGTCTTCAGGGAATGCAAGAACCTGTTGGGAAATACACTTGGCATTTGGGGATTTTCCACTCAGTTTTAACTATTCTTTGGCCACCAGAAGTAAGGTCTAGATCAGTGGATCTCAGTCTCACATGCACATTGGAATCACTTGGGAGCTTTCAAAACTACAAATGCCAGGATTTCATAGCTAGAGATTCTGACTTCATTAATCTAGGGTGCTGCGTGGGCGTTGGGATTTTTCAAAATGCCCTGGATGGAATTCCTTAGAGATGTGGTTTATTCCAGGACTGGACAGAGAAAATATAAGACAAGTCTGGAGCATATTGTGGTAAGTAAGGGACTGTTTGAAAAAGGATGGCAGTCTAAATGCAACAAGTATCCTGGATTGAATCCTGGAATGGAAAAAGGACATTAGTGAAAAAATTGGCAAAATCCAAATAAAGTTTGGAGTAATGTACCAATGTTGGTTTCTTAGTTTTGACAAATATGTCATGGCTATATAAGTTGTTAGCATTAGGAGAAGGTGGGTGAAGGGTATACAGGAACTCTATGTACTGCCTGCCATTTTCTTCTGTAAATATAGAATTATTACAAAAATAAAGTATTACTTTTTATAGACTTATGAGAGTAAGTCAAAAGGACACAGGAGGCAATGTGAAAGATCGTCTAATGGCCAAAGCTGGAAAAATTTGAGTAACAATAGACTAAAATAAATTTCCATGAGTCCATACTTATATAAATGAATAATAAATAAATGGTAGAAAAGGAACAGTTCCCTCTTACAGAATTCTGATGCATAAATAGATACTCATTATTAGAACAGCACAGAAATAGTTATGGCAAGTAATATCCACCAATAGATTCTAAAAGTAATGGATGAAAGTTTAAGGAGAAACAGAATATTTGTGTAGTGTCAAAGTATCTCCCCTAAGTGATTTATTAATCATAAAGGGAAAATGGTAGCTTAACAGTGGAAACAACTGCCTTAACCAAGCAATCAATGTTAACATCACCAGTAATGAGACATATTTATATCATACACTCCCTGTGAGTACATGCCAAAAATGTATAACTTTAGTCAAATCATGCAAAAACATCAGACAAGCACAAACTGAGGAATATTCTACAAAACAACTGACCAATACTCTTAAAAAATGTCAAGGTCATAGAAGACAAAGAAAGACTGAGAACAGACTGGAGGAGACTAACTAGATATGACAACTGAATGTGGGATCCTAGATTGATTCCCAGAAAATAAAAAAGACATTAGGGGGGAAAACTGGTGAAATTCAAATAAATCGAAGTTTAATTAATGATATTGTGCCAATGTTAATATCTTAATTTTCATAATTGTATTATGGTTATATATGTATGGAAGGCTGAGTGAAGGGTATATGTGTTCAGTCCCCAATATGTGGTCAGTCCGCCTGCGTACACTGGCCGAAAGAAATGAACAAACGGGGATTTGCAGCGGAGAAAGGAAGTAATTTATTATTATAGGATTGGCCAATCTGGAGTATGGGCAAGCTCGTGCTCTGAAAGACCCAACTCCTCAATGGTGTGTAAGTTATAGATCACATAGGGCAAAATTATAAGACAGCGTAGCTTAGGGGTTTGAGATTGTGTGCTGACTGGTCAGAGGTGAGGTAAGGGTAATAAATCATTTCTTCAGGTCTTGAGGACAGCTCCGGGGTCTGCTCCAGCATCCCTCTGTCTGATTTCATGGAAAAATAGCCAGGGGGGTGTTGCAATTTAGGACTCAGGAGCTGAAACACAAGTTAGGTCACGATATCTTTAGCCTGCCAGAGGTCCAGACCTTGTGACCATTAGTCAGGTCCGAGGCTATTGTCTTCTGCTGCCTCAGAGGTTAATGATTATCAGAGGAAAAGGCTAAGTCTATAAGGTGTGTAGAGAGAGAGAGGGGGAAACAATGATTTCTTAAGCTATAGTTACAAATCAAATCAAAATCATGAGGACCCTCGGTTTCATATGGGAGCTCTCTGTACTATTTTTACAATTCTTCTGTAAGTCTGAAACTATTTTAAAAGAAAATTTAACAACAGCAAACAACTCCCTCTGACCGCCACCCCCGCCCCCCCAGTGATTTTTTTTTTAAGGTTTTTATTGGGGAATTGGGGGAAGGGGAACAGACAAGTTGCTGTCGTGCTGTTCTTCAGTCTAGTTGTTGAGGATGTTGGTTCAATAGCCCAAGTTGGCACCATCATTGCGCTCTTCCCAGGCGAGGCAGATCAGTCGCCGGCTTCTGGACGGTCGCTCACTACGACTGCTGGCTGCTTACACTGGCTCCTGGCTACACACGGTAGCCCATGGCAACCCACTGCCACAGGGGCTGCAGCCTACGCCGTCGCGGGTGACTCATGGCAGCCCAGCTCCAAGTTGAGCTGTTGTTCAGCATCTTAGCTGTGGAGGGCAGTGTCACTGGCCCTCATATGTGGGATCTGAACCGGGGCCCTCTGGCATCCCAAGCCAGCTCTTAACCAATGCGCTACTCGGCCGGCCCCCCATCCCCCCCAGTGATTCTAATGGGCAGCCAAGGATGGTGAGTCCAGTGCTTCTTAAGTTTTAATATGCTTATGAATTACCTGGGAAATCTTGTTAAAATGCATATTCTGGTTCAATAGGGTATAGGATGCAGCCTGAGAGTCTGCATTTCTAATAAACTCCTGGGGAATGTGATGCTGCTGATCCTAAGACCATACTTTAAAACCATGAAGTAATCTATCACTTTTCTGAGGCATGGATTTGTTTGTGTACTTTTTGATGCTGGGATGT